TTTAATTATAAGAATAACTAGCCCTTTAATTATAAGAATAATAAGTAGGCTAAGTAGTACTATAACCTATAAGTTACTATTAACTTTCTTAAACAGTATTCTAATAAGTTTAAAGTTAAGGACTAGTATAAAGTTAATATAGATATCTACTTTACTATTAGAGCAGAATTCTATTACTAACTTACTTTTAAAGTAGGCTGTAATTAATACAGCCTACTAGCTAGGTTAACTAAGGAGAAATAATATATTATACTCTAGCTCTTTTTTAGCACTTAATAAATTAGTAGCTGTAAAGTTTACTATAGAGGGCTTAAGTTCTGTTATTAAACTACCTTTAAAGTAGGCTATAATTAATACAGCCTACTAGCTAGTTTAATTAAAGAGAAATAATATATTATACTCTAACCTTCTTCTTAACCTTAATAGTCTAGTCTTCTAAGATAAGTAAGAGGAGGTTAAGTTAATCTAGATAAAATATAAAGCTAGAATAGTATAATACTTTAAAGTAATAATATTAGAATCTAATATATAGATAATGCTTATTAATTAGAAGTAAGCCTTTAATTAGTATTTTTACTATAAACACTTAGTTATTAAGGAATATAAGAAGACTAGAAACCTAACAGCTACTAATATTATTATATTTAATAATTAATATATAAGAATATATGTTAACCCTATACTTAAGCTAATATATTATAATTACAGTACGTAGGACCTTATACCTACTAAGTTATAGGACTACCTTAATAGTAGTAAGAGTTAGACCTTATACTTACTAAGTTATAGGACTATCTTAATAGCAGTAAGAGTTAAATCTTATACTTACTAAGTTATAGAACTACCTTAACAGCAGTAAAAGTTAAATCTTATAAGACTAAATTAATAAGGTTAGGTAGTTAAATATAATTAGTACCTTACGTCTATATAATATTTAGTATATATACCTTTAGTACTAATTATATTTAACTACCTAACCTTATTAATCTATAGCTATAGTACTAATTATATTTAACTACTTAACCTTATTAATTTATAGCTATTTACATTCTAAGAGTTCTATAAATAAGATAGTTTAAATATACTATTTAGTATTACTTTCCTTATAAGTAGCTTTCTAAAGGTCTAATTTCCTACACTCTTAATAATCTAAATAGATAAAAAGCCTAAAGTTATTTCTACTATAAAAATAGTTTTACTAAAGCCTTATTACTAGAAAGCTAACTTCTACTAAGCGTAGGCATCCTAGCAGTCTTAATTATACTAAAATAAGAAATCTAGTTAGAAAATATTATACTATAGGATATAGTAGTCTTTATAGTAGACTTAGTAGTAATCTTTATAGCACTAATATAAGAGCTATACCTAGGAGTAGTAGGTTTAACTAGAACTAGATATCTGTAATATAGAGCTATTACTAGAATAATAACTTAGAGAGCTAGTTACTCCTAAGAGTAGTAGGTTTAACTAGGACTAGATATCTATAATACAGAACTATTACTAGAATAATAACCTAGAAAGCTAGTTACTCCTAGTAGTAGTAGGTTTAACTAGGACTAGATATTTATAATACAGAACTATTACTAGAATAATAACCTAGCTATAGTAGTCTTTAAGGTAGACTTAGTAGTAATCTTTATAGTATTAATATAGGAGTTATACCTAGGAGTAGTAGGTTCTACTACTATATTAGCATATAAGCTAGTTACTCCTAAAAGTAGTAGGTTTAACTAGGACTAGATATCTGTAATATAGAGCTATTACTAGAATAATAACCTAGCTATAGTAGTCTTTAAGGTAG